GAGTGAGTGAGTGAGTGAGTGAATGAGAGAGAGAGAGTGAGTGAGTGAGTCGGTGTGGATCATGATAAGCTGGACACCATGGTGAAGAACAGGAATTGCAGAACACCACCCTTGTGCTCAGCTGGGACCTGACATGGACCAGGACACACAGCGTGGTTTAAGATCAGGAAAGGTGTGTGTCTGGGCTGTATCCTGTCACCATGCTTGTTCAGTTTGTGTGCTGAGCAAGTAGTTCAAGATGCTGGACTACACGGAGAAGATGTTATCATGGGGATGGGGATTATTAACAACCCGCACGATGCAGACTTGGATTACATCGCAACTTAAACACCAAATCCTCACAGTGGGACCAATGAGCAACATCCTGCTAAATGGAGAAAAGGTTAAAATCAGGGATTTCATCATGTCAGGGGGGTCCACGACCAATGTCCATAAAAGCAGCAGTTACGAACTAAGACTGCATGACACATTGGCAAGTCTGCCACACAAGACCTCTGTAAAGGGTGGAAAAAAGGACCCAGGTGACTGGGACCCAGGGCCTGGTATTTTCAGTCACCTCATACCCAAGTGGAAGCTGCACGATGAATAAGTCATCGTGAAGGAAATCAGTGTGTTTGGATCGTCTGGGTGAGCACTGACAATACCATGGACCGACTGCCACAAGACCCAACAAATCTGTCTCGAGGGAAGGACAGCTCGGAATTTCTGCTCCGTAGAAGCCAGATGGACAAGGCTTTGTCTCCATACTCTGAACAGGTTATCAGGAGGGAACCGTCTCTGGAGAAAGACCCCACGCTTGACAAAAGCATGCAGGTGAGGAGCAAGAGGAAGGCCCTGGACAAGACGGATCCCCGCAGGCAGCCACAACCATGGGCGCCAACATGGCAATTGCGAGGGATGGCGCGGGGCCGGACCAGGGTCCGTGGTTCACAGGCTTTGCTCTGAGTCAGAACCGACTGGACAGGCCCTACCGCACCTCTTCTGCAGGAACGCCTGCGGCAGGCAGAGCTCAGAGGACGGTGTCAGTCCCCAGGCCTTGCCCCGTCTCTGCTTCTGACAGGGTGCTGTGTCCTGCTATCCCAGTGCACCCGTCAGTGGGAAGTCTTTGCTCTTCCTTCTCTGAGAGGGTCTGCCTTACACGGGCCTTTCTGTATGTATATGTACATCTTCTTCTTTTCGTTCTTCTGCTGTTTGCTTCTGGGGTCATCGAAGAGCCCTCTGCTAATTCAAGTGCAGGCACCAAGATAGACTCCTCTGCTGTCTTCTCAGAACTCCCTGGTCTTGGCCTTGGCCTTGGCTCTACCCTATGGGTCTTCCATGAGTGCTGACTTCACATTGGCCGGTGGCCTATGGCCAGAGTCCAACTTCACTATTTGCCTGTGGTGCTCCAGTTGGCCCAGCCCAAGCAAAGTGGATTTCAGCTCAGCCAGACCCCTGAGAAGCTACTTCTTGCAGCCTCGCTGTGTTCTTCAAACAAGTGCTTTTTAAAAATCTTAAGTTGCCATTTATTGGGCAAGAGATTTGAACCTAAATCCAGTGACTTCCAAACCCTTAACCTTGGATAGTCCTCATTTGCTGCTGCTCACACTAAGGTATTCCAACCTTAAGGTCAAGGGAGTGTTTCAGTTTCTTGAAACACTCTTGAAGGTGTGTTTAAGGTAAAGTCTGGTTAGCTAGTGGGGTTTCCAATTCAGATTCTTCTGGTGTGGCCTGTGAAGGATGTTGTGCACCTTAAAAGAATAGAGTCTTATTATTTAAAACAAAACAAAACAGAGTCTTAAGTCCTGGTTGTCTATAGCATGTGGCCTGGGCCACCCACCAAGGGTCCAACGAATTCAAGAATGCTCTGCAGGACCAGTTTGGTGATCCATTAGTGATGTCTTCCCTGGAGGCTTCCTTACCTCCAGTTACCTGACATCCTTTCCCATACACGGTTTCCCCTGTGGGCAGTAAACCTGTATGCCGTTATCCAGTGGTTCATTCTCCGTAGTTAGGAGATTGCCAGGCAAGATGTCATCCCTGAGGCTCCCCAGAATGGATGGTAACTTCCAACTTTAGCAGATAAGCAACTCCATTAACCATTTGCAACACCTGGTGCCTCCATATACTAAACAGCCATGGAGTTTTGTGGGCAAATTCTTTTTTTTTTTAAATCATTTTATTGGGGCCTCGTACAATCCTTACCACAATCTGTATATCCGTTGTGTCAAGCACATATGTACATTTGTTGCCATCATCATTCTCAAAACATTTGCCTTCTACTTGAGCGGCAAATTCTTTTTTAATGTCCTTGTTCTGTGAGCTTTTTTGGAGCAGGAGCTACTGAACTCAGAGCCAAAGCCACCATCCCCTCCCACCTTTCTTCCTCTTTTAATTGCCTGTGGCCCATGGGGCGTGGCTAGGGGGGCGGGTGCTGTCCCCCTCCCTCTGTGTCCAGCTCTGGCCCTGCCCCCACAGGACGTGAGCCTGCACTTCGTGCTCTGGGGCTGCCTGCACGTGTACCAGCGCATGATCGACAAGGCGGAGGACGTGTGTCTGTTCGTGGCGCAGCCCGGGGAGCTGGTGGGCCAGCTGGCGGTGCTCACTGGGGAGCCCCTGATCTTCACGCTGCGCGCCCAGCGCGACTGCACCTTCCTGCGCATCTCCAAGTCCGACTTTTATGAGTAAGATTGGGCCGGGGGTCGGGAATCCCATGCCTCGGCCTCCTTGCTGGCCAGTCCACTGCCCTTCGGTGCCACTATTGAGCCCCCCTGCAACAACCTCTCAGAGCCCTAGTGGGTTATACATTGGGCTGCCGACCGCAAGGCCAGCAGTTTGAAGCCACTACCCGCTGCTCTGTGGGAAGAAGATGATGCTGTCCACTCCCTTAGTTCCAGTCTCGGAAACCCAGAGGGGCAGCCCAACCCTGCCCTGTGGGGTCGCTGGGAGTCACAGTGGACTCGATGGCAGTGAGTGGTGTTTTGGCCCCACCTCGCGGCCATTAGCTGCCCATCCCACTGCCACCACAGCCCCCCCGCGCCCCTTTCCTCTCTCTGCAGGATCATGCGCGCGCAGCCCAGTGTGGTGCTGAGTGCGGCCCACACAGTGGCCGCCAGGATGTCGTCCTTCGTGCGCCAGATGGACTTCGCCATCGACTGGACGGCGGTGGAGGCCGGGCGCGCCCTGTACAGGTGGAGCTCGCCCCACCTTGCCCTCGGCTGGCGAAGGCCTTGGCCGGCCCTGTCTGACCTACCCCCGCTACCCCAGGCAGGGCGACCGCTCCGACTGCACCTACATCGTGCTCAATGGGCGCCTGCGCAGCGTCATCCAGCGGGGCAGCGGCAAGAAGGAGCTGGTGGGCGAGTATGGCCGCGGGGACCTGATCGGAGTGGTGAGCACTTGAGGGGTCCCTGGTGGGTTGGTGAGTGTAGTCTCGGACTCCACTCGCATCCTAGACTATCCCTGGAGCCCCCCGGGTGCAGAGGCCCGGCTCCCTGCATCCCCATGGTGGGTCCTAGGGGTCCGTCGTCGGGAGGGCGGCTCACCGGCCCCCACAGCCTAGATCGTGCCTGCCACCCCACAGGTGGAGGCACTGACCAGGCAGCCGCGCGCAACGACGGTGCACGCCGTGCGCGACACGGAGCTGGCCAAGCTCCCTGAGGGCACCTTGGGCCACATCAAGCGGAGGTACCCACAGGTTTGTGTGCTTCCTAGTGGGTGGGTTGGGCCTCTCGTAGCCACCTGCCCCTGAATGTAAGCGGAGCCTAGCGTACTCCAGCGGATGGAGCCTGGGGCGGGGCCCAAGTACCTATTGGAGAGATACAGGGGTGGACTTTGCCGCTCTCGCCCCCAGGTTGTAACCCGCCTCATCCATTTGCTGAGCCAGAAAATTCTCGGGAATTTGCAGCAGCTGCAAGGACCCTTTCCAGGTGAGCTGGCTGCCCGCCCCCATGTATGCTGGGAGATGTAGTCTAAAGGCTGGAGCATACAGGGCATGCTGGGAAATGGAGTCACGTGTAACTCTCGCCCTCCACCCCCACCCCACTCCCCTCTCTCACATACCACCTACACCATCACCACCACCCTGTGGGGAGGGTCTGAGCTGGAGGTGGGATCCGAATTCCATTGCAGGCGGGTGATTCCAACCCACCTAGTGGTTTCACGTGAGATAATCCCAAGGGGCAGTTCTACTCTGGCATGTGGAAGCCCAAGAGTCACGTAGTGACACCTAATTGTGGGAGCAGTGGTGCTGGGGCAGGCCAAAGGTAGAGTGTTGTTCTGATTGTCAGGACTTGCCAAGGGAAGGTGTCTGTAGCCTGAAAGTACAGGGTGTGGGAGTCCTGGGCTGGAGCATGCTGGGAAATGGAGTCCACGGGGCCAGGCCCCTGCCCGGTTGACTAGGCGTTTTGGAAGTTGCTGGCATACTAGAGGCTGGAGTCCAGCATCTGATGCTTGATGAGAAGTGTGGCTTCTGCTCCCGGTGCTTGCTGGGAAATGAGAACCATGGCCCAGGGTAAACTAGAGATGGAGTGGAGTTTCCCCAGCCCACTGTCATCCAGTGGACTTGCACTCAGAGAGACCCATTTCCAGTTTCCAGGGCTATAAATCTTTATGGGCAGAAAGCCTGTCTTTCTCCCGTAGAGCAGCTGGTGGACAGAACCACCCACCTTGAATTAACAGCCTGGTGCTTATTGGACTGTGCCCCCAAGGCTCAGTGCCACCCTGGCTGTTTCTAGATATGGTGGCCTGACCCTGGCCCTGGCCAGTAACCCCTTCCTTCCCCAGGATCCCCCTGAGGTGAAGGGCGGGGTCACTTGTGGGCTGTGGCCCCACCTACCCCTTTCCCGGCCCTTCCCTGACCACAGGTCGTAGGTGCAAATAGCCACCTGTCCTACTGGTTTCCCAGGGGACAGCCATGAAGGAGGAGACAGACGAAGCTCAGAGTCCCCCAAAAAACTGCATGTGCTGGGTGCTATGTAGGACACCATGCCAGGCATTGTGTGAGACTCTGTGCCAGGTGCTGTGCGGGGCGCAGGGGTGAGAGGGAGTGAGGCCGACTAACTCCAGAGGGGTTTACATGCACGATGCAGTTCGGTCACAGACCACAGCACAGATGCTGATGTTTTTTGTGCGGGGAAACAAAAGCAGGGGTCCATGGGCGTGACTGGCAGCAGGGAGGCTTTTCTGAGGACAATGAGCCGAGACCTGATAGATGAGGCCCACAGGGCCCAGGCGGCTTTGAGACACTGCTGGAGAGAGAGGAGACAGGCGGGGTCATGCAGGGGCCAGCAAAGGGATTTGGATTTACTGAGATGGGCACTGCTGGGGGTGGGGGGGGCGGGGTACGGGGTTCGGCAGAGTGGTTCTCTGTTTCTTTGTTTTGAAACCGGTTTGTTTGTTAACCCCTGCTCTGTGGTAAAATACGCAGCACATATAATGGATTGTTTTAGCGCCTTTGACCCAGTGGCATTTGGTATGGTCAGTGTTGAGCAACTGTCAACACCCGGAGTTCCGGATCATTTCTACCCCCACCCACCCTGAGGAGACTGGGTACCCGGGAACACTCTCTCTCCATTCCTCCCCTAGCCTCCTGGCAACCAGTGATGGGTCCTGTCCCTGTGGACCCAGCAGGGTGTTTTAACTGGGCTTTGGGGCTGCCCTGTGGCAGGAGGGCTGACAGTATGGTCTCAGACATTGGCCAAGAAGCCGAGGAATAATAGGTGGATGAAAGATAGTGTTATTTCTGCTTAGTTTTGTACTCAGGGATACCCCCGCCACCCCACCCGCACACACACCATGGCACAGTGGTTAAACACTTGGCTGCCAATTGAGAGGTTTGCAGTTGGAACCACCAGCCACTCCAAGGGACAGTCGGCATACATGAAGGTCCCAGCCCTGCAAGTTCCGCGTGTGGAGCTATTCTACTCCATCCTCGATGGTCTCTGAGTTGGAATCGACTTGGCAAGGGATGCCTTTGGAGCTCCTGCCTGTTACTTGAAACCTGAAGCCAGAGCCAGTGGGGACTCCAGTGCTGGGGGAGGGTGGTGGGGTATGGGGCTGAAGCGTGTGGTTGGATGGGCAGATGTTTTCAAGAGAGGCTGCAGTGGGGGGTTGGGGCAAGCCCAGGTCTCAGGGGGTGGCCTTCACCACAAAGACCTGTGGCCACAGGGAACCGCTGTCCGGGCATGAGGGGCTGGAGGACACCCCACCACACAGCAGAGCTCATCCACTGGGTGGGGTGGGGGGGTCTCTTCACAGGCTCGGGTCTGGGCGTGCCCCCACACTCGGAGCTCACCAACCCAGCCAGCAACCTGGCCACCGTGGCAGTTCTGCCTGTGTGCGCTGAGGTGCCCATGGTAGCCTTCACGCTGGAACTGCAACATGCCCTGCAAGCCATTGGTCAGTGGGGAAGGGGGTGTGGGTGAGGGCAGGGCATCGCCCATGGAGACTGGCCATTGGTCAGTAGAGGAAGGGTCTTTATAGCCATAGGCCAGTAGGTGCAACGCCTGGGTGGGTTGTTGGTCTGTCGGAGTGGGGTGGAGCAGGACCCCAAGCCACCAAATGAGGTGTGTTTTGGGGAGGGTTCCTTCGCTCCTAGCCTTCCTTCTCTTCCCCTAGGTCCCACCCTCCTCCTCAACAGTGACATCATCCGGGCCCGTCTGGGGGCCTCTGCACTGGATAGGTGTGTGTGGGGGTGGAGGTGGGGGTAATGCCTTGGAGGCTAGCATTTGTTTCCACTGGGTTCAAGTCTGGGCTGTGACCCAAGAAGTTTGCACCCCGCCTGTGGGCAGGAATCTCTTGTGGGGGCCTGGGCCCCTCCCAGCAATGGTGTGGCCTGGCCTCAGGGTAGCCGGCCACCCAGCAGAGCCCCAGGGTGCCACTCCCTCTGCCCCAGCATCCAGGAGTTCCGGCTCTCGGGGTGGCTGGCCCAGCAGGAGGACGCGCACCGCATCGTCCTGTACCAGACGGACACGTCGCTGACGCCCTGGACCGTCCGCTGCCTTCGCCAGGCTGACTGCATCCTCATCGTGGGACTGGGTGACCAGGAGCCCACCCTCGGCCAGGTCTGCAGGCCCCGCATGCGGACAGCACGCCCTCCATCTCGGCCCCCCCCTCCCATGCCCTCCCACGCCCGTGACCGCCACCCCCGCCCCATGTAGCTGGAGCAGATGCTGGAGAACACAGCCGTGCGCGCGCTCAAGCAGCTGGTGCTGCTGCACCGGGAGGAAGGCCCGGGCCCTGCGCGCACCGTCGAGTGGCTTAACATGCGCAGCTGGTGCTCAGGCCACCTGCACCTGCGCTGCCCGCGCCGCCTCTTCTCCCGCCGGAGCCCGGCCAAGCTGGTGAGGGGCGGGGCGTGCCCACTGGGGGCGGAGCTTGTGAGGCTGAGGCCGGGGCACAGGGCGGCTCCACTGGGCCCCATCCTCATGCCTGGCCGTACCCCCTGCTCTGTCCCAGCACGAACTCTACGAGAAAGTATTCTCCCGGCGCGCGGACCGCCACAGCGACTTCTCCCGCCTGGCGCGGGTGCTCACGGGAAACACCATCGCCCTGGTGCTGGGCGGAGGCGGGGCCAGGTGAGGGGCAGGGCAGGTGTCCTGTGGGCGGGGCCAGGGCCCCGGAGCTGGGGCTAAGAATGACCGGGCAGGAGCGTGGGGCGGGGCCGAGCAGGTCACTGGGTCTCCTTCCCCCAGGGGCTGCTCACACATCGGAGTGCTGAAGGCGCTGGAGGAGGCGGGGGTTCCAGTGGACATGGTGGGCGGCACGTCCATCGGCTCCTTCATCGGGGCCCTGTATGCGGAGGAGCGCAGCGCCAGCCGCACGAAGCAGCGGGCTCGGGAGTGGGCCAAGGTGTGTGTGTACCCGGAGGGGCACCCTTGGGACACCGCCCCAACCCACACCATCCTGCCTTAGCCGGGAGCCCCGCTCAGCACCGCGTTCCACAGTGCAACCCCCTCAGAGACCCCAGCTTCTCCGGGACCTCCTGGCTAGGGACCCTGGACCCTGGACCGCCCACCTCTTGGCGCCTCAGAGGACCCTCGCTCACCCCGGAGTAGGGTCCCTGAGTGAGGCTATGTCCCCAGAGCATGACCTCGGTGCTGGAGCCAGTGCTGGACCTCACCTACCCCGTCACCTCCATGTTCACGGGCTCCGCCTTCAACCGCAGCATCCACCGCGTCTTCCAGGACAAGCAGATCGAGGTGCCGCCCTGCCCCCACCCCGGCTCAGTCCCCATGCCGCCCCCAGGCCCAGCCACCCGGCTCAGACCCTGTCCCCGTAGGACCTGTGGCTGCCCTACTTCAACGTGACGACAGACATCACTGCTTCCGCCATGCGGGTCCACAAAGACGGTGGGTTCCCACCTCCATCCCTGATGACCACCGGAGTGGGGGCGGGGAGGGCAGCTGAGCGCCTGGGACGCTGTTAACACGAGTGACCGTCCGCCCCAGCCCGACTGCTGACCACTAACCATCACCCACTAATGCCCCCAGAGGTCCCAGGTATGTCTGTCCTTGGGAGAGGGGAGGGGGCCGAGGCTGGCGCCTCACCCGCTCACACCGTCCCTGCAGGCTGCGCATGGCGTTACATCCGGGCCAGCGCCTCCTACTGCCCCTACCTGCCCCCACTCTGCGACCCCAAGGACGGGCACCTGCTGGTGGACGGGTGCTACGTTAACAACCTCCCAGGTCAGCGAGCCCAGCAGGCTGGCCGGGCCTCTGCGCGTGGCTGAGTGTGGCTGTGCGTGTCTGTGTGTGTCCCACCGGGCAGGCTCCCTGTGGCGATACGTGCGCGCCAGCATGACGCTGTCGGGCTACCTGCCCCCGCTCTGCGACCCGAAGGACGGGCACCTGCTCATGGACGGCGGCTACATCAACAACCTGCCAGGCAAGTGGCTGCCCGCACTGCGGGCCAGCCGGCACACCCGTGCTCAGTCCAGGCAGAGGCAGACATGCAGTGTCTGCAGACGGGATACGTGCCGTGACAGAGCCTCCCTGTGTGTGTCTACCCTGCCTCAGACACGAGCAGGTGTGCAGGCACGCCACACACGCAGGCACACCGTGTACACAGGCCCATGCAGCGAAAATGCGCACCTGGTACACACATAGGCACCCAGACTCTCTCAGGTGTGTATAGGTAGGCTCCACATACTCTTGTGCACATAGCCACGTGTGCCCAGGGGCCCATGCGCACTGAGCAGGCCGTGTGTCTGTGCGTAAGCCAGGTGTGTGCACAGTGCCCCAAAACGATCCCACACTTTCACACCCCCATGGGCACGCACTGGTAAAGCCAGGTAGCAACCCACATGAAGACCAGGGTAAAGTTCACATGCCACATCCACCGGAGTGGCACAGACAGGCACACTGGCTATACCCTACCCCCCCACCCCTTCCACCCGCCTCCCACCCCCCCACCCCCACCCCGTCTCCCACATCTGCTTAGACGAGGAGCTTGCAAAGTGTGCTGCTCCCCCCACACACACACACACCAATCCCGGCCAATCTAGTCCCAGCCTGGTTGTGTAAATAAAATTTTATTGAGTCTTGGCCATGCCCATCCATTTATGGGCCACCTCTGGACCACAGTCGTGGCGCTGTGTTGTTGACAGGGCCCATGGTGTTGCTGTAGGGCAGCAGTACTCAACCTGTGGGTCACAACCCCTTTGGGGGTCGAACGACCCTTTCACAGGGGTTGCCCAATTCATCACAGTAGCAAAATGACAGTGATGAAAGTAACAACAAAAATAACTTTATGGTTTGGGGGGGTCAGCACAACACCAGGAACTGTATTAAAGGATCACAGCATTAGGATGGTTGAGAACCACTGGTGTAGGGAGTGGTCCATGACTTAGGCACCTGCCCCTGGCAGGTGTCCACACCAGGTAGGGGAGAGCAGGCGGGAAGCACAGTGACACACAGACACTAATCTAGGTACCAGGGGCTGGTGGGCAGGAAGGTGCTCCATACGGCAAGGGACACGAGGCACCCACAGCCCCCGCCCCCCTCGGGCCCTGGGTGCCCTGCCCCCCTGACACTCCCCCTCCATACCATTTGCATGATGGCATGTTGTCTGCATGTTTCTCTGTGTGACCATTTGCATGTGGTGGGTGTCTGTGGGACTGGGCCAAACTCCCCGCCCACTCCGGGCCCTGGCGGGGAGCAGCCCGCTGACCCCCTCCGGCCCCACAGCGGACATCGCCCGCAGCATGGGCGCCAAGACGGTCATCGCCATCGACGTGGGCAGCCAGGATGAGACCGACCTCAGCACCTACGGGGACAGCCTGTCTGGCTGGTGGCTGCTGTGGAAGCGGTTTAACCCCTGGGCGGACAAGGTCAAGGTCCCAGACATGGCGGAGATCCAGTCGCGCCTGGCCTACGTGTCCTGTGTGCGACAGCTGGAAGTTGTCAAGTCCAGCTCCTACTGCGAGTACCTGCGTCCCCCCATTGACTGCTTCAAGACCATGGACTTTGGGAAGTTCGACCAGATCTACGTGAGCAAGCGGGTGGAGCAGGGTGCTGGTGTCCTGGGTGGGTGCAGCTTTGTGGGGCGTACAGCCCAGAGCAACCTGGAAGGCAAGGATCCCAGAGCTCTATCTGAGACCCTTGAGGAGTAGAACAGGGGCTGATTAGCAATGTCTGCGTGGGTTGCAGAGGCCCTGCCTGTGCTCAGTACAGACTAACTTCTTTATCGCTGAACTGCACTGCGGAAGCACTGCTTAGCGATTTCCGATGCCACTTTGGGGTTGGAGATCCATTCTTGATTATCTGCTGCAGGTCTGGGAGAGGGACATAGCAGTGCATGCGCCATGTGCACCAGGGAAAAATATGTGTCACTGCTGTGCTAGCTGAAACTGATTTGCAGAAGCTGCCCAGAGCCTTGGGTAGAAATGCCTTATGTCATTGCCAGGCTCACTGGGGAAGCATGCCATGTTTGATTAGTGATGTCTGCTCCGGGCAGGGGATATGGCTGCATCCATAAATGTACTGAGGCCCAGTGACTCAAATGGTTAAGAGTTGGAGGATCAAGTCCACCCTTGGGCACCTTGGAAGAAAGGCCTGGCAACCTACTTCTGGCAACCCAGCCACCGGGACCCTTTAGAACAGCGGTTCTCAACCTGTGGGTCGCGACCCCTTTGGGGGTTCCCCCTTTCACAGGGGTCGCCCGATTCATCACAGTAGCAAACATGACAGTGATGAAGTAGCAACTAAAATAATTTTATGGTTGGCGGGGGTCACCACCACATGAGGAACCGTATGAAAGGGTCGCAGCATGAAGAAGGTTCAGAACTGCTTCTTCTAGAAGCACAGTTCTACTCTGATGTACATGGCCGCACGAGTGGGAGCTGGTGTTGACCACAGCCAGTGGCAACAGGCCAGACGCACCTGTTCCCTGCAGACCTGGTCACAGGTTTTCTTGCACACCAGCACCACCTCCAGTCACTTGTGTGCCTCCCGGCACAGCGGACAGGGCTGGATGGGAAAGGACATGGCGAGATCGACTAGCAATGCCTGACAGGGGCACGGGCAGGGGAGGTGCTGGTGAGCACACTGGGCATCAGCTTCCTCCCGTGTCTGCATTACCTTGGCCACGGTTCCCCCTGCAGGATGTAGGATTCCAGTATGGGAAGGCCGTGTTTGGGGCCTGGGGCCGCGGTGACATCATCGAGAAGATGCTCACAGACCGGCGGTCGGCCGACCTGAATGAGAGCCGCCGCACCGACGTAAGCCTGGCAGGCCCCGGGAGCCCCTAGCCCCCACCCCACACATAGGACAGCTCCCCCGTCCCCAGCAAGGCAAGTCCTGCTCACAACGACTCCCCGTGGGTCCAAGCCGAGCTGTGCAGTCCAGGGTGTCAGGACTCGGTTCTGTGTGCCTCTGAGTGGGCTCACACTGCCAGCCGCAGCCAGCGGTCAAGGGCTTAACCGTTGGCACCACTCAGGCTCTCCTTATCGTGCCCCCACTTGTGGCTCCCCCAAGCCCCAGGTGACCGCACATATCCCTGGGTTTATACCTGACTCCAGATCTCCCCTGGTTTCCACAGAGGAGACCTCATTGCCTCCCCCCTCATTCCCCTCCCCAGGTTTTTGCCTTCCCCAGTTCCGGCTTCACCGACCTGGCGGAGATTGTGTCCCGGATCGAGCCCCCTGCCAGCTACGTTTCTGACGGCTGCGCTGATGGTGAGGGTCCCCGGGGGTCCCGGTGGGGGATGCTGACCAGAGGTGCCAGACTGGCCGTGCCCCTCACTGTGCCCGCTCCCTGACCCAGGTGAGGAGTCGGACTGCCTGACAGAATATGAGGAGGATGCAGGCCCCGACTGCTCGAGGGACGAAGGTGGCTCCCCTGAGGGCGCCAGCCCCAGCACACCCTCGGAGACGGTGAGGCCGCATGGGCCCTCGTGTGGCGCGGCGGGCCGGCCCCAGGACTAGTGTGCTTTGGCTCCCAGGGTTGGGTGGTGGTGCGCACTGGCTGACACACCCCTTGATCGGTGCAGAGTTGGTAGCCCTGGAACCGACGTGAACTGATAGACAGTGGCTCCCAAGTGACACCAGGGTGATGGGAATTTGGGGTGAAGTTGGTTGGGAGATAGGAGTTGCAGTTGCCATGGAAATGCCCCCGGCTAGCTAGCACTCATGTTGGGACATGCATGTTGGGGGACAGGCTGAGTGGCGTGTATTCACGTTGCATGTTGGGTGATACACGTGCTGGGCCGTGCTTGTTGGGGTGATGTATTAGATGGGGTGTATCGGGATCCCAGGGTGGGAGTCCTGTGCTGCATGGTGCATGTTGGGGTGATATGTTAGATGGGGGGGAGCTGTGTGACACGTGAGGACTGGCCTGTCCCCCCAGGAGGAGAAGGAGAAGGAGCAGTCGCTGCTCAGACACCGCCATGTCCTGCCCCAGGACCCTCCCAGCTCCACCGTGGACCCCTGAGGACCTCGAGAGCAACCCCCCCCCAGCAGGGCTGGGGGGCCTGTGGGCCAGTGCCCTTACCCCTCGCCTACTTCTATGCCTGTGACCCCCTTCGGTCTCGCTGGCCACACACTGGACTGACCTGCCCCTGAGGGCAGGAGCAGCACTGCACTGAGGACCCCGTGACCAGCGGACCCCCCAATAAACCTTCATCTCTTAGAAGCAGCCTCCTGTCATCTTCAGGTCTGGGGAGCCCCCTGCTCCCCAATTTCTACTTGGAGGGCCTGTGAGCCTATCACTGTGGCCCACTGTGTTCTCAGCCAGCTCCCAGGTGGCTCATCAGCCCTGCCCTACTGTGTGCTCGGGCTGCTGGCTTTAGGCTCCAGGGGGCAGGCTCTTACTTCCCTTCCAGCCACCACCCCCTTCCTGCTCTGCCCTTCTGTGTGTACGGTCTCCATGTGCCCTGCAGGCTCCCAGCAGTGACCCTACTGTGTGCTTGCAGTGGGTACCCAGAATGAGCCCACTTCTGCTCTTCACACCAAGACCCGCCCTGTCTCCTCCACCTCCACGGTCCCTGGGATTCTGGCTCACAGTGAGCCAGGCATTTAGATCCAGGACCCAGCTGTCTGGTGTGAACCGCCCCCAGGAAAAGTGCCCTGGACAAGTCCCTTAATTTCATCTGAGTGCTGCTTCTTCCCCTGCCAACCTCAGAGAATGAGAGGAGCTGCCAGCTCAGGCCTTGAGCCCCTGGGGAGGCCCAGCCTGTGCCCAGCACTGTGCCCCAGGCATGGTGGGGGCCCTTCACCACCACCACATGCTGAACCCAGAGCCTCCCACACAAGACCTTGTCTCAGGGCAGTGGGGGGCCATGGCATATTCCTCAGCAGAGGAGAAAGGAGTCAGGCTTATATTTTAGAAAGGACATCAATGAAATGGTGTGGGGGCCACGCCTGACCTGTTCCAGCCACACACAGGAGGACCCGAGTCTACGCCAGCCCACAGGCGGTTCCCGAAGCAAGGTCAGGCGAGCCTCTACCCCCTCCCTCTTTACCCTGATCTGACACCGCTGCGCCTCCCACAGCACCCTTCGCCACTAGGCACAAGACTCCATCACAGTGGCCACACTGAGCCCTCAGCACTCACACTGAATGGGGCTTAGTAGGGAAGCAACAGGATGCAGAACAGTGTGGGTACAATTCTTCATCAGTCACGCAGGCAGGCTTGCTCCTCCACCTCTGTCCACAGGCCTGGAGACCCATCCGCCACTCTGCCTCCTGGCCTTGCCACTGTGGCCCCTGCTGCCTCCACACTTGAGGCAGGGGGTCTCACGTGTTCACTAAGCTGAGCGCTGAACCCCTGTACCCCCCAAATCCCATCCTCTCACCTTGTGTATTGCACCTAACTCTAGTCGCCGTACGCTCTCCAACTCTGCTTTTCAGCTGGGTTCAAGACTTCAGTCCAACCGGGCACACAGGTGATCTGACTGTGGGGTTTCCTAGGAAAGCTAACAGGTTGCGATTCAGCACGAAATTGCTCAGGATGCAGTTGTGGAGGCACGGCAGTTCCCTGCCATGCCCACACAGGCCTCTCTCCTCCCTCGGGCCCTCAGCCACTTGGCCTGACCTCTGTCCTGCTCGGCCAGGGTTACGAAGCTTTTAGGGCTGCCAACAAATGCCCAAAGGGCATGTCACGGTGTCATTCGCTTTAGCCAATTTCCTGGGTCAGCAAGCCCAGCTCCCCCAGCAAAGTGCCCAGAGGGAACCCACTCCACAAGCCAGCCTCCTTAGCGAAGCACGCAGCTTTCCACGTTGCTCTGTGGCTCCGGAAGTCCGCCGCTCTGCCCCCTGGCCCCGCTGCGGCTGCGCCTCTGCGGTTCCTCAGGCATCAGAGCTGTCTTCTGGATTAAGGAGCCAAGGCCCAGGGGTCTTGGGGTCCCAGGGACGAGTGCCACTCCTGGTTCTTCTCTATCACTGGGAGTAACACCCTAGCCCCTCTTCCTGCTTCTGATACGGCGGGTTCTGTAACAGTAGGCAGGAGGACACTCAATGAACTCTGGTCACAATCCAGTCATCACCTTCTCCCTCAGACCCATTAGGAAAACGAAGCTTGTTTGGTGGCAGCAACCAAGGCTCTGGCTGGAAGATCCAGGTTCAATAACCGACTTCATCCCACCGTGACTCAAAGAGCGGATCGGTGGGCTCTTCACGGAAGGACCCACGCAGGCACCCTCACAGGCTGAGCTCCTGCAGAACCTGCCTTTGCCGCCAGGGGCCGCTTCTCCACAAGCCTGGGGTTTCTGGGTTGGCATCTCCCTGGGCTGCAGGAACCTGTATTGCTGTGATCCCACAGGTTTGTCACTTCTCTCTGCTTCCAGGGAGAGAGCCTAGGGCTTTCTCCTCCTGTAACTCACAGGGGCGGTTCCACCCTGCCCCACAGGGTCACTCTGAGTCGGCACTGACTGGGTGACAGAGAGTTTGTGGCACACAATGGTCAGGCTGCAACCAAAGGGCCAGTGGTTCACACCCACCAAACCGCTCTGCGGGAGAGAGAGAGGTCCACCTCTGTCAAGACTGACAGCCTCGGAAACCATGCAGGGCAAGACTCCAGCCCCACGAGTTGCCATGGACTCAATGGCAGGGGGTCCGTTTGTCAGCCTCATGGCTTCTAGGTGGCCGAGGTGTTGGAACTTGGCTGGTGTTCTACGTCCCAGCAGGGTCACCCGTGAAACCCGCTGCCCTGGAGCCTATTCCAGCCCTACAGGACAGAGTAGCACTGCCCTTGTGGGGTTCTGGGGCGGTAACCCTTTGGCAGAGCAGAAAGCCTTGCCTCTCTCCCGAGAGGCGGCGGCTGATGGCTACAAACTGAGCTTGGGGTTAGCAACTCGATGTGTAACCATTACATCACCGGGCTCCTTCACAGTGGACGGATTTCAGCAAGACTTCAGGCTAGAACATGATGATGTGCTTCAGGAAATCAGCCCATGAAAACCCTGAGGCTCACAGCGGACGGTGATCTCACAGTGCTGAGAGTGGGGCCTGCCGAGCCCTGCCGTTTGGCTGCCGTCCTCGGGAGCTGGCTTGATGGCAACACACACAACAAGAACAAGCGTGGATTTCCCAACACGATCGCTGAAGACCAAGTGGGTGCACAAGCAAATGTTGTGAAGAAAGAGGATGGGGACCGGCTATCAAAAGATATAACATCTGGGTTCTTCAAAGCTTGAAGTTAAACAAGCAGCCATCTAGCAGGGAAGCCTCAAAGCCCACATGGAAGAAGCACACCAGCCTGTGTGATCATGAGGTGTCAATGGGATCAGGTAACAAAAGATCCAAAACAATTAAATCGATGCCAAGGGGAGGTGGGGTAGGAGTGGAAACCCAAAGCCCATCTGTAGACAACTGGACAACCCCTCACAGAAGGGCCACAAGGAAGGGACGATTCAACCAGAGAGCAGTATAGCACCAAGGGAACACCCAACATTCCTGTAGTTCCTGAATGCTTCTCCCCACCCACCACCCATCACCCCCCCACTGTCATGACCCAGTTCTACCTTGCAAATGTGGCCAGACCAGAGTACGTACATTGGTACAGATAAAATGTTTTGGAAATGATGATGGCAATGTATGTACAAATGTGCTCGATGTAATTGATGTATGGATTGTTATAAGAGCTGTAAGAGCCCCCAATGAGATAATTTTTAAAAAATCAAAAAGAGCTGGTGAAGAAAGCTGATGGTGTCCGGCTATCAAAAGATATAGTGTCTGGGGTCTTAAAGGCTTGAAGGTAAACAAGCGGCCATCTAGCT